ATTTATTTGATTTGCACTAAGATATTTTTAATCATTGAACTTGTAGTGATACATGTTCATAGGTGGTTAGTTCAAACATGTTGAAATGTTCAATCTATTTGATGAAAGTGTGTGTGTGTGTGTGTGTGTGTGTGTGTGTGTGTCCTCAGTGAAGTGTATCAGTCTCTGCAGTAGCTTCCAGCTGCAGCAGTCAGTTCAGTTTCTTTTCAGTCTGACTGAGGGAGGTTTTTGTATGACGCTTTGTCACTGTGTGAACAACTACTGACTGTTGATGTTATGAACACCCTGACAGTAGTAAACTGCTGCATCTTCAGTCTGAACTCCACTGATGGTCAGAGTGAAGTCAGAGTTTGATCCACTGCCTGTAAAACGACCTGGAATCCCTGATGCTCGAGTGCTAGCAGTGTAAATGAGGAGTTTAGGAGTTTCTCCATCTCTCTGTTGGTACCAGGCTAAACAGTGGTTGTTGTTATAAACAAAAACATCCTGACTGGTCGTACATCTGATGGAGACGGAGCCTCCCAGAGCAGAGCTCACTGCTCCAGGCTGAGTCACTGTGACCTGGCCTCTGGACTCTGAGGATACAGAGACAAAAACATAAAGCAGCGTCATGGTTTTGTGGGCTTCATTTCAGAGGGACGGATGTTCATAGAGGAGAGGAGTTTGATTCTCTGGACTTTACCTGTGAAGCAGCAGCAGAGGAGAGTCCAGATGAGGACGCAGATCAAAGTCATGTTTTTGATGAGGAGGATTTCTGTGGCTTCTGTTGTCATGAAGGACAGCTGTCAGTCATCCAGTGTTCAACTCTCAGGACTATAAACTCTCCCAGAGCACTGGAGCATGGTGCTGCTGATGCAAAGTGGCTCTCTATGGAAATGCTCTGACTGACTCCAGCAGGGACTTGGATTACTCTGATGATGCTGTTTATCAATGGATCAATCAATTTACCTGAGTATTGATAAGATATTTTTAAAAAACCTCTTGTTTAAAATATGTTATGAGTTATTTCAGTTAATTGATAGAGAAAAAAATGTAAATTTAATTTGAACTAAATGAACTAGTACTGGGCAACGATTACATTTTTTAATTACAATTAATCGCATGATTTTCTTGAAAATTGTAAATTGAATAATGAATTCTAAAGTAGTGTATTGCTTGACTTAAATGTACTGCTACATACACAAAAATGCATTAACATGTGGTTTGCAAAGAGCTTTTTACCAGCAGTATTCCCTTTACACAGGAGCAATAAAATATTTCTTGTAAATCTCAACTTAAACATTAATGTAATCAAATCAAATATTAAACCACAGCTATTTACCACTGCCAGGGAATTACCTTTTATCTAGCTTGTTGAAACAAGTTACCATCAGAGTCCAGTTTTCTTGGGATTGGGAACATAAAACAGTCTATGTTCAGTAGAAAGTGTCCCTGTTACAGCGAGGTGAAGTGGTCGAGCACAAGGTGTACTGGGGTTCCCGTGAAACTGTCGTGGTCGTGGTCGCCTCACGCACACGCCCGCCTGCTGCCAAAGTTGAATTGTCTTGAATTTTTTGTACGCGACACGCAGCACAATCATTGGAAGAGAGACTGATCCTCGCTGTTTGTGAGTTTCCAGGATCTGAATAGTTATCAGGACATCAACAGGAGGGAATTCACATGGCAGAGCATCCCCGCAAAACTAAATGCAGGCCTATCAGGTAAAGTTAGTCTGTGTATAATTTTAATTTAAGTTAAAGGCTACGGCTGTGTAGCGCACAGAAGCCGTTGCCATGGTTACTATCCATAGAGCGCCTACCGTTCACTCGCAGAGAGCCGTTTCCCTGTCTGTTCACCTGAGAACCTGTTGGAGCCTCTCCGCTGCTTGTTTGGGTTATTTTGCAGGCTGATCAACATCCCACCTCTCCTGTGACCCATGGTTTGATTGTAGGCCTATGTGTATTCAGAGCCAGTGAGCAACGGACTTTCAAAATAATAATTTTTAAAAACTGTCGCCGTTAATTAATGAATGCTTTAACGCGATAATAATGCGTTAACGCAGCCCTAAAATTAACATATCAAATTAAAACAGTCATATTTTCACATGTCAGCTGATAAAATGTTACAAACAGAAACTATTTTTGTTGAGTTTGTTTGTGTCAAAGTCAGAGAGCCGTGTCTCTCTACAGTGAGAGGTTTTTGTACGGCGGCTCAATGAGTTTGTATCACTGTGGTACACGTTCGGTGGAGGAACCAGACTGGATGTTGGAAGTAAGTCAAACCTTTAACAAAACTTTTATTTCAATAGCTATTTTTCAACGTTTATTATCAGCATGCCAGAAAACTGTTTGACTTTCCATATTAATGTATAAAGTTTATTAAAATTATTTGCACTAAGAAACAAAGTTCACTTTACTAATAGAAATTTACCAACTCATTATATAAATAGTAAATATACAATATTAAGCCACAGCAGAAATCATTATTTCCAACCTTAATGGTAAAGTTGTATCTTGAGGGCTTGTAGCTTTAGTTCAGTCTGTCAAAGTCAGAGAGCCGTGTCTCTCTACAGTGAGAGGTTTTTGTACGGCGGCTCAATGAGTTTGTATCACTGTGGTGGACTTTTGGTGGAGGAACCAGACTGGATGTTGGAAGTAAGTTTCTGCTCAAATACTAAATACAATATTATCAAGTCCTGCTTTAAATTCAAGTTTTGAAAGTTTAAGACAGATAAATAGATTTAATTATAAAACTCTTATTGTTCATGTTTTTATTTCTCTTCCTTTACCATGGAGGCTAACTCAGAGCAGCTTAACTAAACTGTTCTTCGCACAGTCCTGTCAAAATGAAATATAATCAACTTGGAAGTGGAGAAAATATAAAACTTTAATCTGAATGTAAAAATGTTTAGATTAGTTAATTTTAAATGTTCACCACAATAATGGCTGTTGTTGTGATTAAATACAATTCATTTTCTTCATGTAAAATTGAAGTGAAGATAAATATGAGTGTTTTAAAAATGTTGCCTATTGTTATGAATTTGGAAAAAGAATACAATATTTCCATATTAATAGTGAAAGGACAACTGGCACTACTTTCAACACAGTGGTCAGTGTATCTGTCAGTAAGTGAAGTGATACAGCTGAGCAGTGATACCTGTGTGACTGAATTTGCACTTGAAAAGTAACGACGTTTAAACTGTATCTAGTGGTTCAACTCAACATTATAGCTGTTAATATAAGTGAAGAAACACTTTGAAATCCAGATGAAGAACATCTGATTGTTGTCAGTTCATTTCTGTTTTGGTTTCCACAAAATTATCTATTGTATAGTCACGTTTCTTGATGATCTTGATAAGAAAGTTTGTTATTTATTTCCAGTGTAGTTTAATATATTTCAGGTCATTCTGTATGATGATTCTCTCTGTGCTGATTTGCATGAGAGACTTTTTAAAGGGAAGTGAAACAATGTGTGAGTGAGTGACTGGTGGAGCAGAAAAAACATCTGACAGAAACTCCTTAAAGGAGAAAATCAGCTCTCACACAGTAAAGGTGTCCTCTAAGCTGATTGGTGTCTCCTAGGTGATGTCCGTCCCACCCTGACGGTGCTGCCCCCCTCCAGTGAGGAGCTGCAGCAGGGGAAGGCCACGCTCATGTGCCTGGCCAACAAGGGCTTCCCCTCAGACTGGAGTCTGGCCTGGAAGGTGGACGGCAGCAGCAGCAGCAGCAGCTGGGAGGAGAGCAGGAGCCCCGGGGTGCTGGAGAAGGACGGCCGCTACAGCTGGAGCAGCACCCTGAGGCTCCCTGCAGACCAGTGGAGGAAGGTGGGCTCTGTGACCTGTGAGGCCACCCAGGGCTCCCAGGCTCCGCTCTCAGAGACACTGAGGAGAGACCAGTGTTCCCAGTCCTGACCTGACTCACTGGGACTCTGCTACTGGTTTTACTCTGCTCTCTGAACTCTGTAACTCTCTCTCTGTCTGTGTCTCTTTCTTTCCTTAAGTCATTCTCTAATCACATGTTTCATGGTTAAAGTTTGTGTACTGGATTTAATTTGGATTATTTCAACACAATAAAGACCAGTTCATTCAAATTTGTTGTTTTCATTTCTGTTATAGTGACTGTTACTCTGTCATCAGATTATATTAACAATATTCAACTTTAAGTAATGAAGCTTCATTGATGTAATAATGCTCATGCTGTTCACACTGTAAGAAAATAAAAAAAGTTATTTCAAATTAAATAATATTTCATGATAGTTTTATTTTTTACTAACAAAGATGCATTTTCCTTCATTTTATCAGTGCAGGATTATATCTGAGGTAATTTCTTCTTCTCCTTGAGTCTCACCTTACAGAGTCTCTGTTTAGCAGAGACACTGTAAAGTTTCTCTTTATAGCTGCATTAAGAGAACTTTCTAAATGCAGGTATAAACAAGGTGTGAATGAAAGAATGAAAGCGGGTGTTTTCATGAATTCATTTAAAATGTAGTTTGTACAAATCTACATTACTCAATACGTTTCAAGGATTAAAAATGAAATATAAAGTACTTTCAACATGAGATGGTTCTTATCTCAGATTTTCAAACCAAAGATTTTATGTCAGTGTTGCATATACCACACAGTGACACATTGGTCTATTCTGATGGAGCATGCAGTCACCCTGCATGCTTCATCAGAATAGACCAATGTCTATCTACACAAATATCAAATTTCCATCACATACTCCTCCCTTGTGAGCATTCTTTGATCACTCAAGAATATACAGCATTACAAAAAGATCATCAGGTCATAGAAAGGCATCATGATGTAATCTACACCAGTTTAACCAAGAAAACGAATCTGGGTCCTTCCTTTCATCACAGTTCTGCTGCTACAACAATGGCATGTTCACTTGTTCATGGAGTGTGATCATTTGAATAGACACACATTTATCAATAGCTCTTACAGTCAAACCTCTGGCACATGGAATAATGCAACATCCACAGAGAGGTAACAGCGCTACAGCAATCATTAGGCCTGCTAGTATGGGCATCACTAAGGCTTTTTATTTAGCAAATACAGAATCAGACCAGTCAAACATATTAGTGTCCACTTCAGAGTTCTCTGCAAGTTCTTCTCGTAGCGAACGCATTCCTTCCAGCACTGGGGTCACCGAACCATCTGGAGCTGTATTGTTGGGCACAAACGTACAAGAGGAGTTATTAAAATTATCCAAGCATCCCAGCCTCTTTGGGTGCTTCTCTTGCCTCTAACACTGCTATGTGATGTCAATGCCTGTGTGTAGTTCACTGTGGTGTTCTGTTGTGGTGGCTTTTGTGCATCATGCTTGTGATCTAAGAACTGCAACAGAGGAACTGTTAATGCTATTGCAATGGCAGCAAACATCTGTGTTGTTCCTCGTAGGCCCACAAATGTCTGGGTGTCTGACTGGGTCCCATGGATGTCTCCTTCCAGAGACAAACATGCTACTCACTCTTAAATCAGCAGTGGTGAGACCAGGAGTTTTCCCACTAGCTCCCTTGTGTTGATGTTTGCTGTCTAACAGCCTGTGAGTCCGAGACAAAGGGTGCCTAAGCGTTCCCAATCCCTCCTTCACTCACAACACAAGGTCAGGGAAAACAGTGGTTCAGTTGCTGATTGTGCACGCTTGTTGATCTGTTACTGTTCTGGTGCAGGCACCTTCCTGCAGTGGCTGGTATGTATCCATGTAGCTCTTTCAGCCTCCACAACCACCACAAAACCTCCTGGCGGGAGACTGCATCGGCTTTGTTGCTGGAGAGGGAAAAACTTCTATCCATTTTGGAAACATATCAACTATCATCAACAGTACTTTTTTGCCTTTGCTTGGGTTTAGCTAAAAACGGTTCATCTGGTGGTGGATGTGCTGCTAATGAAACCTGTAATCCCCTCCCTGTGTTGTGTCTTAGGCAGATTGAGCATGTTTGACAAAAGTTGTGAGGGTGTGTCATGAACCAGTGTCTTGCTTCACCACAATATTTCATTAGTGATACAGTTACAGTTTTGCAACACCAGAACTCTGTAGTTTTCTAGTAAGGCTAAACTAAAAAGGAAGAAGAAGAATTGGTTAGTGTTAGATATTAGGCTCTGGCCACTGCTCCTGTTTAGGAGAGGGAAAACTTTCAACAATGACAACAAGACAGTAATTCTTTCACATCTTAGCATCACATTTTATCATCAACACAGCAGCAGCACACAAAGAAACATCCAGCATAACATAAAAGCAACGGACACAGCAAGCAACATGACAATAAGCACCGGGCATCTGGTCTGCTTCCAAGATGTAGTGTCAAAACAGGTCATGTGATCGTCCTTTGGTCAGCAGCCTAAGTCCAAATGTAGGTCATGTCTTTGTAGTACCTGAGTACAGGCAGACTATAGAGAGCCATTTCAGTCAGTGAGGCTCTGTCAGCTCAGCTTCGTCAGTTCAAGTTAGTCAAGTGCACTATTAGTTCACCATGAATCATGAGAGAGAGATTTATCTCTCTGTTCATCTTTTTTAGTAATAGGATCTCTTGTCCATAAAATCATCATCACCTTCTTTATGGTGATTGGTTCTGGAATAGATGAAAAGGCTTGAATGCATTGGGAGAGAGAGCTTTACTCTCATTGTGATCGCATTCCCAGATAAGTTATTCTGTCTATTCGAATTGCAATTAGAGACAGACAGACTAACCTTGTGTGAGGCCATTGTGGGCGAACCACTTTAGCAACACAATGGTCATCTCAGCATGCTGTGTGTGATGGACTTCAGAACGGAAACTGACCAGCCGCGTGGGAAATATAAAAATTTTAAAAACAGACCTTTGCCAAATCACCAACAGAGAAATGTGTAGTCTTTGATGTAAAGCTGTGAAACCTGCACTGCTCACGGGTGCACTAATGCATTTACCACCACTTTGTTGCTCTGTTGGTTGGCCTTCAGCACAATCTTTTTGAAAATGTGGGTGCGTACAGGTCACTCCAGCCTGCAGCAGTGAACAAAAAGAAAACATGTTTAATATTTCCAAGCGCTTCTTTTTTTTAGTAAATATTATTTCACACATCAAATCAAATCAAACTTTGTGTTAACTATAGCTATACACTCTCATTCAATTTGCACCTCAGACATGAGGTCACTACGGTGGCCTGTAGGTTTCAGGCCTAATACAAAAGCCACAACACAAATACAATTAAAGCTGCAAGCAGCGTTGGCCCTTGCACGTGTCGCGCGTTGGTGTGTGAGGCGGCCGTGTTGCATATTCTGGATCTCTGCCGGTGCAGCTGTGAATTTGCTATGCGCTTCCGACGCTGCATGAAGGTGTTTTACGTCACTTCCTGTGTCCCCTTTGTGGCACTACATAGCACTTGGCGCTATGAATATAAATTAATATTGGCGTGTGGATGTCTACGGGGTGGAACATTTATCAAGCACGTAAAGTTTTGTTCAGATGTGAGCATGTACACTGAAGTTACAACAACTTCCTGTGTCATGGCGAAGAGTTGATCTTTGACGCCACGCCACGGACACGCCCATCGACGAAAAGTCACAGATAGCACAACTTTCCCTGCCGCCGCTCGACTGCGGTAATGTTTACGTTTATCTTGAGGGGAGCCCCTCACCTAACACAGCTCAGGCTTGTCTCTTCCTCGATTTGTGCATCAGAAAGTACAACTACCATCCAGCATTTTGGCAATGCAAAAGTAAAAAACTCATAGTAACAGTGGATCACTTGCTTCCTGGCAGTGGAAAATAACGTCTTTTTTAGGCCTACATTTACTAATTTGGCATTATGCGGGAAAAAGTCACAGGAAGAAGAAAGTTCTTTCTATAATTTGAACCCAGACCTCCTGAATGTGGAACAGCTACATAGTCGCTGTACTACTGTGTAGCTGTGTTCTGCAGACAGTAATCCACTGTTACTAACGTCTCTTTCGTTGTCAACTTCCATTGTGGCTTTTTTGTTCGTGTTGTGGCTTTTTTGTTCGTGTTGTGACTTTTGTATTCGTGTTGTGGCTTTTTTGTTCGTGTTGTGACTTTTGTATTCGTGTTGTGGCTTTTATGTTCGTGTTGTGGCTTTTTTGTTCGTGTTGTGGCTTTTTTGTTCGTGTTGTGGCTTTTTGTGTTCGTGTTGTGGCTTTTGTATTTGGCCTGAAACCTATGGGCCACCATAGGTCACAGTTTAATGTTTTAACCAGTGTACTCAAATTCCAACTTATGGGCCTGTTGTCAGTCAGCCAACTCCGGGCGGACTTGCATCCCCAAATCCATCCGTTTCCAAATCACTTTGCTTCGCCATGTGTTTATGTCCCCCTTGGTACTGCTAAGATCAGAGAAGGAGAAAAAGAAACAAAACAACAGCGCAGCGCTCCTTGATGCAGATATTGAAATAATTCTCTCTCTCTTTTTTTTCCCACTGTCTCTATTCCATAAATAATTAAAAATTGTTGCATCCTGTCCATCAGAACTGTGTACTGTGCAGTGTAATGAGTCTATGTGCATGTATCCAAAGGTCTCTTAGTGTGTGTGTGTGTGTGTGTGTGACATGGGGGTCACTCATTCAGTGCTCTGATAACTGAAATAAGTGTTTAACAACTATGTCATCGAAATTCATTATTATGATACCTTATATGCAATACCTGCCGCTCTGTTGGGCTGTTTTCAACATATCATGTAGCAATATTATCCCCTGCTGGGGTTAAATTTACTAACAGCTACTTTGGCAGTTTGCTAAACTCTTTGTGGTTATCATTCATCACCAATGTAGGCTGTTCAAGCTCATCAGAATTTACTAATAAATTAATATAGTATTACTTTGTTTTTTTACCTTCAATTTGCTTAAGTTTTTATTTTTCTGTGAGAAATTGTGACTCACCCAGTGTGTGTGTGTCCCAGTTGTTTCCTGTCACTAGCGTCCGTCCCGCCCCCTCCAGCTCAGTCCATTTGGATCTGTTTTGTATCTGTCCAGACAATCTCTGTCTACCAATGTCCATTGTTGTCCACCGGTCTCACCTACTGTCCGTTTTCTCGTACTGTGATTGGTTAGTACAGAGTTCTTCAGCCCCTTTTGATGGCTATTTTATCACTTTGTCCTCTTTGTATAAATCTTCAGCTTGCATGCCCTATCAAATTTCAAAATATATATCAAAAAAATATCAAATTTCCATCACACCTATTTCATCAGTGTTTGCATGAAGACAATATACTCAGTCCTGTCAATACATCTACCAAAGTTTAAACAAAAAATATTTTAGGCTTTATGATGAGAAGACTCATCAGCAAAAAAACAACAACACAGAATATATCAAAATAACAAAATATGAAAGTGATTTCACATTTTACAAATCCACATGGAGGTGCATTGAATTTAAATAAAATACTCACCTAAAACAAAGGAAAACTTACAAAATGACATTTCTTATTATTGTAACCTCTCAGTGTGTTTCAGTAAAATGTAACTTTACAACTTTTAACTCCATGAGTTTCATTCTAATTAAAGTACATTTACATACATTACATTACAGTATGGTTATGTTTTTGAAATATCTAGCGTTATGGTTTCTGTGTAGCTGGTGATTCAGATCAGTTCCTCTCCAGCTGAGGGAAGTTTTTGTACGACGTTGTATCACTGTATGAATGGGAAGCTGTGACCACCCTGGTGACAGTAATAAACTCCCGCATCTTCAGCCTGGACTCCACTGATGGTCAAAGTGAAGTCAGTTCCAGACTGACTCCCACTGAAATGATCTGAAATGTTGCTACTGATACTTGAACTGGCTTTACATCTGATAGAGAGACAGTCTGTCCTGGAACAACAGACTGAGCTCCAGGAGACTGAGTCAGGATGATTTCTCCTGATGAATCTGGAAAACATGAAAAAGAGGAGAAGGGTTATTGAGACAAATCCAGTTTGGAGAAAGATGATCAACATCCAAACAGAAGAGTCTCATTTCTTTAACATGGAGAACAGATGGAAGAAGGTAAATGCTGCTTGTTTCAGTGTTTCTCCATCACAGCAGAACATCATTGTGGTGAACCTGGTTGCATCCTGAAGCAAAGTTTTCAGAAGAGAGTCTCACCCTGAACAAGGAGCCCCAGGGTGGCCAGCAGTAGAATCAGTGACATCATCATCGTGCTGCCGGCGTGTCAGTGGCTCTGAAAGGCCTGGACAGCCACTGATCAACACTGACCTCTTAACGGCTGGGAGTGTGTGTGTGTGTGTGTGTGTGTGTGTGTGTGTGTGTGTGTGTCCTCAGTGAAGTGTATCAGTCTCTGCAGTAGCTTCCAGCTGCAGCAGTCAGTTCAGTTTCTGTTCAGTCTGACTGAGGGAGGTTTTTGTACGACGCTTTTTCACTGTGTGAACAACCACTGACTGTTGATAACATGATAACTCTGACAGTAGTAAACTGTTGCATCTTCAGTCTGGACTCCACTGATGGTCAGAGTGAAGTCAGAGTTTGATCCACTGCCTGTAAAACGATCTGGAATCCCTGATGCTCGAGTGCTAGCACGATAAATGAGGAGTTTAGGAGTTTCTCCATCTCTCTGTTGGTACCAGGCTAAATGGTGGTAGTTGCCTGCAAAATAAACATCCTGACTGGTCCTACATCTGATGGAGACGGAGCCTCCCGGAGCAGAGCTCACTGCTCCAGGCTGAGTCACTGTGACCTGGCCTCTGGACTCTGAGGATACAGAGACAAAAACATAAAGCAGCATCATGGTTTTAATCCATTCTTTTTCGTTACCTTTTTTATATCCTTTTTATTTAACTTAAGTTTTTAACTTAAGTTTTACGTGGGTTAAGGATTTTAGTCATCCGACATGGATTTTAAGCTAGATGACCGTAAAAACGCGATCAACGCTACTGATCGCAACAAATCTTCGGTGACTATGATAGCCGAAATACCTCTGCCCCATGAGGACTGCACACTCCTTAAGAAAGCGAACAAGAAGATTGCTGACCTTATGGAAGACATCCGACGACTTTCAGAGGAACTCAAAGAGAAAGATTCCCTGCTGACTGGCTTTATGGATGTGGCTTCAGTACAAGCCAAACAGATTGTTTCTCTTAGCGCAACCGCTAACATCCAGGACACCGTGTTTTGGGACCCCTCTAGCCTTCCGAGGCTTTCATCCTGCTCGACTCCGAAGCATCAGTCAACCTGGGCTGAAGTGGTGGTCCGTGGCTGCAAGAGAGGCTCGGATGGGGCTGCCTCTCCTCCGCACATCGGCCTCTCCAACCGCTATGCAGCCCTGTCTGACGACACTCCGGTCCATCCAGCGGATGCACCTGCGGCTTCGAGTCTCCCTGATACGGATCTCTTTCGACGCACAGTGCCTGCTGACACTGTTGCATCTCCTTCACCGGCTACATCTCCTGCACTGGGCCGCCGGTCTGCCGCCGGGCCTGATCGGCGGCCGTCATCCCAGTCAAAAACCTCCGCTTCCCGACGTAGGATCCTGAAGGAGGCTGTGCTCAGACGCTCCGGAGGCCGTCTCTACCCTGCACCGTCGGGTAGCCCTTCTCTCAGGTATGTTACTGCTACTCCAACACAACACTCGGCAGCTCACACAGTCCATCCTCAGTCCGCGCGCAGTGTTGAAGCAGATTCTGCTCAGTCCTGCTCTGGAACCCCACAATCGGCATCTCCTCGTCCTCTTTTCTCCCCAACCACACTAATAATTGGTGACTCCATAACCAGAAACATCCGTTTCTTTAACGCTACCACTCACTGCTTCCCCGGTACCACGGTGCTGACATTTTAAAAAAACTCCAGGACCTGATGCCATCGCTCCCGTCCTCCATCACAAGAGTGATAGTCCATGTCGAAACAAATGACACAGCTCTTCGGCAGTCTGAGCTGACAAAATCAGATTTTAACCATCTTCTTAACTTTTTAAAGCAGTGTGGAAAGTCCGTTTTTATCTCTGGTCCCATTCCCACAGTTGGTCGCGGTGCTGGCCGCTTCAGTATAATCCTTGGCCTCCACGACTGGCTCCAGTCCGCCTGCAGGGCTCATCGTGTGTATTATGTGGATAACTTTAATATTTTCTGGCAAAGAATGTCTCTTTTTAAGACAGACGGAATTCACCCAAACAAACGGGGCTCAGAAATGTTAGCTACGCACATACAGCATATGGTGCGGTCCACACATGACTTATGTGAATGACTAATCATTCATGCAGCACACCTGGACACACCACCGCTCACTGAACAGATCTCTGCCTCACTGCCACAAACAACTGTCTCCACCTGCTGGCATGTAAAGCCGTCTGCTCCCAGCGCTGTTCCACAGACTTCTATTCCTGTCATCATCACGCTGTGGTGTATAACATATGTGCATTTGACCATTACAGTTTAACATAATACTCTGCAGCTGGAGAGAGGGACAGTGGACCCTTATGGGGAAGTAATGATTGATGGGTGTGCGGGGAGTGAACCCTCCTATGGAATTTGACCTCTGACCCAGTGTTAGGGGGAGAAGAGATTAGTGTGAATGAAGGGACTGTACCCTTCTGTGGTGTCTAACAGATGGTTACACTTATTCTACAGCACTGTGCCCTTATATGGTATTTAGCAGAGACCTAAACATGTCCTATATAAGCTGTGTTCGATGTACAGAGAGACAGAGTGGTTATTGGGCTAGGTCACTCTCCAAGCTGCTGCAGAGCTTGTAATTGATGCTGAATTCTTTGATGTAATAAACTTTTATAATCAAGAACAGTGTCAAGCGGATTTCTTCTCAACACATCATCACAGCATTATCGTTCGGACACCACAACGCATAGACCAGTAAACCGAAATGTGCACATCCCACACAGAAATATTAGTAATCTCTTAAGGATTAGGACAACTGCACCAACTCCAGCACCCAGAACAAACTCATTTAAAATGGCTCTCTTCAATGTGAGATCACTTAAAATCAGACTTTTATCTTAAATGATTTTATCTTCTCTGCAAATCTAGATTTTATGTTTTTAACTGAATCCTGGTTGCAAATGAATGACTATAGCCAGCTAGCTGAACTGTGTCCGCCTCAATATGATTGTTTTAGTCAACCGAGGGTCAGTGGTCATGGTGGTGGGCTAGTGAGCGTGTATAGGAAAAATTTTAAATGTCATCAAGTACGCTGTGATGAATTTAACTCCTTTGAAGTTCTCACTCTTAAAGTTGGAGGGCTGCAACCTGTCATATTTGTTATAATTTATCGCCCCCCAAAACTGCCTGGAGGATTTTTATCAGAACTTCCTGAATTTTTATCTACTCTGGTTTTAAATTATGACAGAATTGTTCTTTGTGGCGATTTCAGGTATTCATGTTGATGACCCCAACAATGTTAATGCAACTAACTTTTTAAATATGGCCACTTCTTTTAACTTCAAACAACATGTCAAAGGGCAAACAAAATAACCGTGGTCATACACTGGACTTGGTTTTTACCCTGGGTGTCAGCATTTCCTCTGCGGAATTAGTGGACATGACCATATCTGACCACAGATGTATTGTTTTTAGCTGCGATTCACCTGTTACTAATGCCGCCTGACTGAGCTCAGTGTGTTCTCGCATCTTTAATGAACAATGTTTTGCGCATTCTTTCAGAGCCAAAGCCAACACCTGTCTGATTCCAACACCAACAATCTGGTTGATCACTTCAATCATATCTGCTTGTCGTCACTAAATATTACTGCTCCTCTAAAGGTTAGGCCTACGTCTAAAGCTAGTAAGCAACCATGGATAAATGACAGCATTCGCAGCCTCAAAAGGGAATGCAGGAAAGCAGAGCGCAGATGGAAAAAATCCAGTCTCCAAGTCCATTACCTCAGTCTGAAGGATTTATTAATTAACTACAATAACATGGTTAAGGCTGCGAGAACACACTATTTTTCTGAACTCATTACTACACATAAACACAATCCCAGGTTTCTGTTTAAGACTGTGAATCAGCTGGTAAACCCAAC